CTCTCTATTACCATTCGTTTCTTTTTAGTTACCTTGATGGAGGCAATTCTAACGGTCAAGTAAAATATGTATGTACGTGTGTGTATATCAAAAATATTTTGAATCTTATTTTAATATAACTTTATATCTTAATTTACAGACTTGAAATATATATATACATATATATATATATATATATATATATATATATATCAAGTGTCAGTGTACGTATATAATAATTATACATAATACTTGTATATTTCTTAGAAAATTGATGTAAACGAAAAAAAAAAAGAAGAAACAGAAACAGAAAAATGAAACAACCACAAGAAAACAAACAAAGAAAAAATGATCAATTTCAGTCTCGCACACAAAAACTGCTACTACCTATTATTACTACTACTACTACTACTACTATCACTTTCAATGCTACTCTGCGGGTTATGATCTTCTCTTATCTTAACTTCTTTTAAAATATAGAAATCAAGAAATCCTTGCTACACACAAGAAAGATTAAATCATTTTTATGGATTTTTATGTAGATTATTCGCGTAAAGCTAAGGAGAGCTGTGAAATTAAAGTTGTATCAAGTCAGAATTCAACAAGTGTATTAATTAATGAAAGCAAATGAATGCAAAAGAATGAATGAATGAACGCAGCTAAATAGTAAATTTACAATTACAGGCTGAACACATTTCAAGATACATTAATTTGCGTAGGAAATGATGATAAAACATATTTTTTAAAAATTATTAAATATTTTGCTAGTTTTATATAATTTATTTTCGTATAATATATAATTCTGTTTAATATGTATCAATTGCCTTTGCTGTTGTTATTTTATCAAAATACGAATAAATAAACAATAATTCACGATTGAACTGAAAAAACATATTAGAATCTTTTTTTTTATTTATATTATATTGAGCAGTCACTCATATTTGAAGTAACTTTTTTTTTACGTTTGAGCCTCCGTCTTCAAAACAAACCACTCATTTTTTGGAGATATTTGCGAAAACAATCATACATACAATAAATGATCAAATACAAAATATAATAAAACAGAAAGGCAACGTTTGAATGCTTCCTTGGCGGTTATTATGTCAATAACGCCAAGAATTGTCATACGGAAAAAATCACCTAATTGACATTTTTGGGTCTGAAGTGTATTTCGTAAAATTTTCGGCTCAATTATATATATATACCAGGTCTTTTCGGCAGTGATTGTCGGCAATGATTTGTTTCACTGCGCTTTAAGAACTCACATTGGAGTGAGTTATTTTGTTTTAACACTTTATTCAGAAAGCAGTCAATGCGGCAGTCAATTTCGATTTCTAACATAATGTATTATGAAAACGAAAGTAACGAAAAACTAGGTAAAGATAATTTTTCGTTGACTGTTCTTTATTATTAGTATTAACTCTCCCACAGTTTGTAAATTACTGTATTTTGCGAATATTTTCATATTTTTACTGCGTCTGTTCTCTATCATCCATTGAATCCGGCTTTAGGAGAGCAGACATTCGTGTACTCTAGCTAAAATTAATGCTTAATGCTTCGAATTTAATCGGGCAAAGATACAAAAGTTAATATCATTTCTGCACGCTTACTTTCTATGCCCATCTTATCTATCAAAATACAAAATATGTACATAAATAAATAAATAAATAAATATTCGATTTAATTACCTATATCGATGCTTGCTTGCATTTCAAGCAAGCTTCTTTGTTGTATTGGCCATCAGAGTGTACGCAGGGGCTGGTTTGCGATTCGAGTTGTTAAGCTATCGTACGATACGAGCGCGGTTTGTGTTGATAGTACTTGGTCGCGTTCTCGTTGAGTTTGGCTTCTCGTTCGCTACATTTATGATAGAATATTTATGATATCATTGGCATATGTATAGGAAAAAAAATACAAAGAATAGGGAGAAAAATAAATAATTAAACAAATTAAATCGAATTTTTGCAAAAGAAATTATTAAAATTTTTGGAAATCATTATATAAAACAAAATTTAATAAATTGATGACATCATTGTTTATTTAAATTATCAAGATCTTTTTTTCTTCTAAGCTAACTTACACACTACTGAGAGCCATCAACTCAATTCGTTTTCGTCTCATTAACGAGAATTATCAACTTAAATGGCAAATTCGATATCAAATTTGCTCGACAACGAGAATCATAACCTGTCCCTCAGTTTTTACCGCCGTCAGCAATGCATAAATTTTAACAGCATTTTTCAGTGAATGTGGCTTTTTTTCTCTTTCATTTTTCACGTGTTTTGTGGACTTGAAAACCTACAAATTAGACTTTGCCGCCCCATAAAAACTCACTTTTCATTTGAACTTCCATAAATGGTGGGATCTAAAAAATATACCCATGTGATTCAAATTTCCTATGGTTAATTTTTGTGCCAAATTGCTTTGGAAGACCAATTTTCGCCTTGAAATTTTTAAAAGATGATTCCGTTTTTGTAGGAATGCTTATATGAGGTAAGGGTCAAAAAATTTCCAAATCCGTTCCAAATATTTGGGGTCAATTTAGAATGCGATTTTTGTCGACCACTGAGGTTTAAAGAAACTGATCAGCTCTTATCTTAATACCACTGGAAGGGAATTCGACGCTTCGATTTTAACACGCTAGAGACGAAACTTCTTTGTTGCTGATTGATTTCCACGATTTCAAACGTTAGAAAATTTTTTATGTAATGGGGCTGACTACCATTTTCTCTGTTGTCTTCTTTTTAATCTCTCTTTAGTATTTAATGGATTTCAGCCAACATTGTTAGTGGAAGAATGCTGCTCTAATTGGTTAAATTTATCTAATTTGGGAATGAGAAGCGAGTATCTTCGTTTCAATAAATTGCCTTCATTTCATGCAAAAATGCATTGTCTATCTTTCGAACTGAATTTACCGGCACATTTTAAATGCGAAAGGAAGGAAATGAGTTCAAATACTTATCTGGAAGGCAAAGACTTTCATTTCGGCTTTTGCAAGCGTTATTATAGTCAGTATTTTGTTTCGAATCTATTTATCATATTCTATATACATATATAAATGTTTTTTTTGTCACATTATTTATAAAATTCAAATAAAGAAAGCGATTAAAGCGCAAAAAAGAGAGCTAACATTAACATAAAATAAAAAGTTCGGACTTGAGTTCATTTTTGCAAAATAAATTTCGCTAATTTCAACGCAAATATAGGTAAAAGAAATAAAAAGAAAATTCCAACTTTCTTGGTAAAATTTAATTAAGGTCCATGAGTTTTTTCTTATCTTCCATAAATTTGCCATTTTCCGATATTTCGTTTAAAATAACACTTGCTTTTTGTTTACTATTGGCATGATTGTATTTCATATCATTTATACTGTTATACAGAATTGAAGCATAACAGTAATCATAGGTCAGCGTAGAGTTTCAATTTTGTGCATAACATTTGGCAACCTTGCAGGGGTAGCCGCTTTTCACTAGAATAAATAATCGGTTTTCTACGAGAGAAAAAAAAAAATAAGAAAAGAAAAACGTTGTGTAGCTAGTAGCCATAGGAAGAAAAAATTTGTGATTTTTTCTCTTACATTTTCCTCTGTATGCGGAAATTAAATTGGAAGCATTCTTTTTATAATAACTAAATTGCTACGAGATTAGAAAAAATTTTTTTTTAATTTATTACGAAAAAGCGACTGATGGAGATTATCGTGACATTAAGAAAAGCAATAGTGAAGCACAAGTAATACTGAAAAAAGACAACAAAATTTGCCTGGTGCATATAAATTCTCTTGCTTTAGGAAAGTAGATACTTGGCACGCCGTTGTCTACTTTATTGGCTGCTTTCGCTTCTTTGGTTTGTCAAGGCTGCTGTCACAGCGAATAAAGCAAAGGGAGTACACTTTAAAAATAATTTATAGTAAGGAGCACAATGTCATATCCACCCAGACCTCCAATGCCGCCTTATATAAATCCTTCAATACCGCCACCACACGTATGTTATAACTTTCAATTAAAAAATAAAATAACGTGTTAGATTTTATAATATTTAGATGTTGGGACCTATGGCCAATCCACCGCCGGTGCCGAGGGGATTTAGGAATTCAGCTACCATAAGTTCTCAGCCAACGGTATATCAAAGGCCCCCGGATCCTGCACCACAATTCAAGGGTCCCATAATTACAGTCTTCGTGGGTAAGTCCGCAAATAACTCATAAGAAAAGGACTAGTTATTGTATTTTATTTTATTTTAAAGGAAATATTAGTGAAAGAGTACCAGAAGCTTTAATAAAACGTATTTTAGCTACATGTGGTCCAGTGGTGAACTGGAAACGTGTTTCCACTTTTGGCTTTTGTGAATACGAGTATGATTATGAAATTATATTAGAACGTGTATCTAATCAAATTTTTTTATATTTAGCGGACCCATGGCTGGCATGCGTGCCGTACGTTTGCTTAGCGAAATTGAAATGGATGGTAAAAAATTGTTGGCTAAGGTTGATGCTAAAAATAAATTGCTCTTAGATAATTTCAAAGAGGAGGAACGCAAAAATGGAGCCCCCGAGGTAGTAGATGAAAAAAGTGATGATGAAGCTGCTTTGTCCTTAATGCACCAAATCATTGAGGAGCATAAGCATGAAATGGAAGAATTTGATCCTAATGTTCGGAATGATATGTATGGCGGAATACGTGGTGGAAAGATTAAGGGTGTTAGACCAGACGAAATTAAAGTTCCCAAAGTTTTGCATGAGACGAATCTTGAAGAAGAGAAACGTAATCTTATTAGTACTGAAATTGGCAAATTTAGGAAAAAAGCTGAAGCAGATGAGCATCGTAAGGAAAAGGAGAAAGAAAGGGAAAAGGAACGCGAAAGGGAGCACAAAGATAGCAAGGGTAGGGAACGCAAAAAGCAGCGTGGTAGTGACGGTGAACAAGGCTGGGATGTTGACGATCCAGACGCCGCGGAAGCTAACACTAATGGCTCGACACGCAAAGTTCAAATAGTTTCACCGACAGTATCGCCAGTACGTAAAGAAAAGGAACGTGATACTTCTAAGGAATCCCGACGTCGGCGTTCCCGATCGCGCTCCAAAACCCGAGATCGTGAACGTGAGTATCGTGAGCGCGAAAGAGAACGGGAACGTGAACGGGAAATGCGGGAGAAGGAACGCGAACGTGAACGGGAACGAGAAAGAGAACGTGAACGTGAGCGAGAAAGGGAAAGAGAACGTGAACGAGAGCGCGAACGTGAGCAGAGAGAACGCGAACGTGATAGGGAACGTGAGAGGTAAATTAGAGCTCTGCAAAAGTGTGAATGAACTAAACTTAAACAATTTTAGAGAGCGTGAGGAAAAAATTGTGCGTAATCTTAAAGATGTGCAACGTGAAAAAGAACTTGAGGAAGAACTGCGAGAACGCAAGAAGGCTGAAAAGAAAGCACGCGAAAAAGAGGATGCCTATCAAGAGCGTCTTTTAAATTGGGAGGCAAGAGAAAAGCGAAAAACCAAGGAATATGAAAAGGTTTAGAATTCTTTTTCCATACTTCGATAGCCTATTTACAAACTCTACTTTTCAGATACGTGTCAAAGAGAAATTAAAGCAAGAAGAGCGCGAAAAAGAAGCTAAACGTTTAAAAGAGTTCCTGGAAGACTACGATGATGAACGCGACGACGTCAAATATTACAAGTAAATTTGTCTTTTTTTACATTCATAAGAAGCTTTTGCAAAGAGTGTTGGCGACATACGGGTGGATAATGCTGTCCGTTTATTTAAAAATATTTGTACGGGGTATTGAAAACGTAAATAAGAAAAATGGCAAAGGAGGAATTGTCTTATAAGTCAATTATAAACTTCGTAGACAAACACATTAGTAATTTCTGAAATACTTAACTAAATCTGTATGAATAACATAAGACACTATATAAGAAAATGTGTGGACAGAAGGCACGAGGTCTGAAAAAAAACAACGTTAATATATTCGGACACCAAAGTAATATTTGAAGAAGTATGAATTGTAACTTCTGTAGAGTCCGTTGCGTAAATGCAGCCGTTAAGGGAAAAATACTGATCTACTCCATTTTTTTTTTTTTTTTTTTTTAAATATTACATTTTATGCTTCTAACTACAAGAATATATTTTTGCCTTTAGGGGCCGTGAACTACAACGGCGTTTAGGTGAACGCGTGCGCGAGGCCGATCTCGATGCCAAGGACCGCAATAAAGAACAAGAGGAATTGGAGGAATTGAAAAATAAAATTTTTAGCGGTGAGTTTGAGAATCCTACTCAGGAGTATGAGAGGGCCAAAAAAGAGCACGAAAAACTGTACAAACCTCAAATAATCATCGATGTTAACATGGAAAATATTCAACGGAAGGAACGTGAGCAGGAGCGTAATCGTGATAAAGTACAGGCTAATGCTAGTAAACACCATAACTCAGAGGAACTCTACGATGATGGCGGTGGTGGCGTTTGCGGCAATGATACGGGTGTCGGCTTAAGATCCATTAATAAGGCTCACTCAATTGAATCGATATCGAATGAGGATGACGATGCTTCAAGACATGACACCATATCGAACGCAAGCAGTCGTTACAGTCGGCAGGGTTCGGAATCCAGAGATTATATGACTGCTCGCGATGTTGAATCTATGTCACCGGCTACACCTCAAGGTTTCACTACATCCCATGCACAAAACGAAGCAGTTTCAACACCCCCGATTACTGGAACTACCGTAATCAGTTTAAATTTGGGAGCCAATGCTAAGAAGAAACGAATCGAATCCACTGCTGGCGTGTTTAATAATGACGAAGATAACGATGACGTGTCCAGTCCAAAAAAACGTAAACTAGTACCATTAGGTAAGCATATTACGTTGCGAATAATGTTTAATCTCACGATTTTAAAATTTAGATTACGACGACAACCATGGGTTAAAAATTACTTCCCATGCAAACTCCTCTGCAGTACATGCCAATGAGCGTCATGACGTTCCTTCTGTTGGAACTAGCGGGTCCACAGCGATCGTAGTGTCCGGTTCTAAGGGAGTTGGAGCTGGCAGTGCTACAGCCATTACAACCCCATCGAATTCCGCAACACCGATAACGAGCAACAAAACAAAACACAATAAAAACGATAGCTCTGCTGCAGCTGCCAATAGCACTACAGTAGATGCTGCAAACAATAATAAAAAGGATGATAGTAGTGGTACACGTGTGCATGATGAAAAACGCCGCCACATAAAAAGCATTATTGACAGGATACCAACTCAGAAGGAAGATCTCTTTAACTATAAACTTGATCGCAACGAAATCGATAATAATTTAATGGAAAGAAAGATACGACCGTGGATTAACAAAAAGATTATAGAGTACATAGGTGAACCTGAACCGACACTTGTCGATTTTATCTGCTCCAAAGTATTGGCTGGTAGTTCGCCGCAAAGCATTTTAGACGATGTTCAAATGGTAAGTGAATTGAATTACAAATCATTTAATTAGCTAAGGCCGCAAATTAAGCTTAAAAATATTTTACCTTTTTAGGTTCTTGACGAAGAGGCCGAAGTGTTTGTTGTGAAAATGTGGCGTTTACTCATCTATGAAGTGGATGCTAAAAAGATTGGTTTAGGTAAATAATAATGATAATAATTCTTATATTATTATTATGAACATGGCAAGAACAAAGAAAACATACAGAAGAAATGATTTTCAATTTGTTTGTTTTGTGTGCATACGTACGTCTATGTGTGTATGTTGAACTAAACATATAAAGTATCATAAAAATCAAATACAAACAGCAGTTCTACGATACAACTCCAATCTCTATAATTTAAACTTCTTTCTAAAAAAAAAAAAATAAATAAAAAAAAAAAAAACAAAAAGAAAATTGCAATATATTAAAAAATTTGAATTTGAAAAAATTGAAAATTTTTAAATAAATCTATTACAATTTCCAAGAATCGTACATATGAACGCAGCGTTAAAACCCTATAAGACACTTTGGGTAAGTTGTCACTAAATTCCTAAGTTAGTTATTTAACCTACACAGATATTTTTGGGACTACTTATTTTTCACGTTGTTTTCCAAAATGATTCAAGAAAAGCTCAGGTAAATAGATGAATTGTGAAAATAACTTAGGAAAACTCCAATGATAAGTATAAATAGATGATCAATCAGTCAATAAAGCGTCAGTTCGCGTAAATTGGACTAGTTGAATCTCTATTGCTGGACATATATACTCATATACCCTTTAGTGTTTTGATATTGATTCAAAGTCGGTCTCAAGATCTTCATGGTATATGTTCGGCTTAATTGCTAAAAGTGCGAATTGTTAATCATTTACATCTGGCGAAAGAGGTTATAAGAGCGATCTGGGATTCGAAAAATGTATCTTTGATATATTTTAAGTTTTCTCAAAGTACTAATTGCATTACTTTTGTATTTATTAATCAGGCGGTGCGAAAATCTCAACATCGAAGTAAGTCAAAACCGTTTGTTCCGTCGATCTCTTGAAATACAAAACTGTGTTCAGTTATCAATTTATTCACATAAACGTATGATATTAAATATACAAGATTTTAATTCGCTAAACATAATCCTATAATTAATTGAAGATATTAAAATGTAAGAATTTATCTTTACTCTTCTACCGTAAATACGTACATATAAACAATTAAAATGCGTTATATATTTAAAAAAGAAAAAAATTCTGTGTAGATACAAATTAGCACCTACAGGAAGAATCGACAACCTCACCTTCACTGACATTAAGCGTGTTATTATTATGTGTACGTTCGAAATGTTCTGATGAAACAATCTGCAAAAAAATAAAAATTTACTTCTTTTAATCTATTATACTAGGAGCTATAAGCGATTACTTTTTCAACAATATCGCGAAAAACATCTGCTACAAACTCGTCATTCTTCGCTGAAGTTTCCAGGAATAAAGAACGATGCTTGCGAGCAAACTTAACTCCTTCCTCCCGACTAACGGCTCGAACATTGTCAATTTTATTGCCCACTACAATGGTGGCAATGTTAGGATTATCACTATAATTCTCCAGTTCTGTAAACCAGGCTTCTAACTTCGCCAAGGATTCACGATTAGTTATATCGTAAACTAATATTGCACCTAACGCCTTACGATAAAAGCTAGGTGTCAAACTGCGAAATCGTTCTGCTCCAGCAGTATCCCATAAAGCTAATTTATAATCAACCCCATCAATATTCATTGTTTTACTTTTGAAGTCCATACCAATTGTGACGTCATGATATTCATCAAATTTATTCTCCACAAAACGACGTATTAAGCTGAAAATATGAAAAGCTATAAATTATGACAATCTTTATAAACTGAGCTATTAATTGCCTAGATTTTCCCACACCGCTTTCACCAATCACCAAAAGTTTTATAGCCTTATCATTTAACATTTCTGATTACACTCTCTGATGTTCAAGATGCAAAAATTATTGCCGAAGAAGAATACAGTGTTTAGAAAAATATTCAGTTTATTAATATGACTAAAGAAGCGTTCATTCGTAACTATAGACATGTAAAAAACAGCTGGTGAAATTTATCGATAAATATATGACAACTTGAGTATGGCAATCATACACAATGGGATAAAAACTTTATTGCAGAACTACCAGGTATACTAAAGAAATGAGAAACGGAAATGTTTATTTATTCTAATTTTTGATTTGCGGTGTGGGCAAGTAACCGCTCTTAAATTTAAACGACAGTAAAAGTAAATGCTGTTCGTTTTATTGTTTTTAACGAAATTCATTATTAATATAAAAAAACAGGATACTTGCATATATTACTTAGCAACTCTGCGTTATGTGGTGTTTGATGCTTGATAATAAATAAGTAGAAACAAATCAAAATAAAAATGAATTGAGTGTAGGATAAAGAAAATTCCTTGCAGTATTGTTATGAAACGATCTGCGGTTTAATTATCGAAACTATTAGTTCGAGATAATTTTTCTTTATTTTTAATTCCTAATTAAAATTGTTTTACATTCGAGAATGAGCAATTTTTGGTTATGGCAACATTGTCTTTAACGTCGCTTTGTCTATACGTATAGAACTTTACAATCAAGTTTGTTTTCAATTGAATATATTTTATTTTGCAATTTTTCTTTGTATCTCACGTGGCCATAAATAAATAAAACGTACATAAGCAGTTTCACAAAGAATGTATTGTGATATTAGTATGTATATACAAAAGGAACATAAATAACAGAAAATATATATTAGATAAAAGGTAAAAGAGAATATAAGAACTTCCTTAACGATATTTGCAATATTAACAATGATAATAAAAAAATCTGTTTTATCATGTGTCAGCTTCAAACCATCTAAAGGATGTTTATAATTACGACTAGTTAATTATTGAAAAAAAAAAAAAAAAAAAAAAAAAAAATAGGAAATGAATTAAAAAATAAAGCGCATAACTAGATATCGCTGCCTGTTACTGTTTGTGCGCGCTTGTTTACCCCGACCTGATTGAATCATTGATTGACTCCAGCGTTGTCGTTAATAAATGTTTAATAAACTACAAAAGGAGTAAAAACAACTGCGACAGCGTTAACCAGCCATAACATTAGCTATAATATAATATCCCAACACGACTACAGACATACAAAACATACATATATATAATAATACATATATATATATACATTTACAAACAAACGTGCATTCGTGTAAGTGTGAATATGCACATTATGTATATATATATTGAATTGTATATATCATGTATATGTTTATTACCACCAGTAAACTCATTAAGTAAATGAAGTAATACACAGCCAGGCTACATAAAGCAACACACACATATAATACACATACAACAGACATCCATTGTTATTACAGCAAATATGTTAAAGTAAGAAACATTACGTATAAGCAACAGGCGAATCAATACAAAGAAACGCCGATTTACTAGAGAGGAGTTAAGTAAAGCAGCAAACTTTATTGCTCAGTCGTCAAGTAATAATCGTCGCGGTAAGATCGATTCGGTGTAAGTAATAGGTCTGTGTTTGATGTGTGTGCCTTAACAAAATAGTTCTTCCTCGACACAAAGTAAGGAAAAAAGCAAAGTCAAAAGGCAACCACATAAATAACTATTAAAGCAAAGCCTATCTATAACCGAGTTTCTTTGTTTGCCTTTGCAGTTATTGCGAGAATTAAATAAAGAAAAAGAAAAAGGAGAGTAGCATGGAACAGCAAAGCGAAAAACATGTTCAAGAATAAACAGTAGAACATTTAGTAAAGAAAATTGTAACGAGAATACAAAAGAAGACGACGGTCGTCTTTTAAATATGGTCGAGAAAACAACAACGATAACAGAAAAGAAGAAACACAGGCCAAGAGAAGAGAAAGAATAAAGAGTCAAACGCCAACTATAAGTAACTCGAAGCTTTTTCAAAACACAACGAATCAAAACAATCAACAAATACGTAGAGTAAAGTAGAAAATAATAAAAAATATATTTAATGTGTATTAGGTTTGTTGTCGATTCTTGTGTGTCCGCTCGTGCAACAACAATTCCGAACAGCGACAACGCTTTAATAATAACTCAGTGATTTCGGTGTGGTAGTCAAGTTTTTAATTTTCTTGTCGTAGCGGCTGGCCTTTCAGTCCTTAAAATTTATTTAAGCTATTCGATGATCTTTGCATTCTTTGCCTGGCTTGCTCTTAACTCCAGCACAGAAAGCAATTTGAATAGTGGTGTTAAAAATTTTGCCTCCGTTTCTTTAAACCCGGATTTCTTAAAACGAACAAGAAAAGTAAAGTAAAAAAAAAAACGACAGGCAGCAAAATCAAAAAAACTGAGTTAACAAGCAAAAGTAATCAAATTCAATTAAGCAGTCGGTGATTGTGGAAGAAAATTTTTTAAACAATTTTTAAACTTGAAAACTAAGAGAAATAATAACATAAAAAATATAATAAAGAAAAATTTTTGTGTGAACTTCATTTTCATCTATCTATGCCCTCACGTCGTCATCCAATGAGCAACGAGAACATTTGATACGTAATTTAAAAAATTGCAAAAAAAAAAAAAAAAAATTGCAAAAAACCAAAAAATAGAAGAAACTTCTAGCCGGCTCTGTTTGTGCCCGCCCCCTCCCCCACCCCTCTCCCAACCGCATTTACGCAGCATCAGCGCTATCGTCACATTTAATTACTATTTTTTTTAGCAGTTTTTACACGCATTGGAGAGCGGATTGTGCGGCAACAGCCTGTTGTATGTTCTGAAAATGTCTACAGCTATCGTACAAAAGAATACTGCGAGCGCGACAACAACAAATACCAACAACATCATATACTTTGACTGCGGCGACATTTTTGCAGCGGTAAGTCTCTCCTTTATATTCTTTCACTTGTATACGCATACAAAGTACTTTAATTTATTACTTTTTCTCACATGTGTGCAAAATTTGCAAGTAAAACAATCTAAAAAGTTATTATGCGTGTGAAGGTTAGTGCTTTTACATTAAATATGCTGAGAAAGGGCGTACGTAGTACGGAAAACTACGGGCATTTTCTTCCGGAGCGATTAACATTTTTTTTTTTTGTTCTACCTTTCGATCAACTGGAATTACAACTACGGTTAAGAATGGGGGGAGGAGGGAGATATATGCAAATAAAGTTGATATCATAAATTTGATAGTTTTGATAGATATTCTTTCGAATGATGTTTAAAGATTACTTTTACAAATACAACGTTGATATGTGCACAAGACCGTGCACTACGATTGAGTGCTTGGTATATTGACATAGACAGAATGCTAAAACCTGAAATACGGTATATATCGGTGTGATTATAATACTAAATGTTCGAATATGAAACCGTTAATTGGCTTGGCCCATCTTAATTCGATATCCCAAGAAAAAAAAAAAAAGATAAAATCGTCAACGTAAACGTTTCCATTTTGCAGCCGCTACGACAATTTCGCTTCAAAGCTTACAAAATATTTTTATTTACTTGAAGAAGAAGAAATCTCCTAATTCTCATATAGAGCAGATAAATATAGCTATTTGCGTTTGACTCCCGCTTGATTTATTTGATATATGGATAGGATTTCAGTCAGCGTTAAGATTTTTAGTAAATTTCTTTACAGGTGGTTTTTGTTATTTTTTTTGAAATTATTTCTAAAATAGGATTTTAGTAAATTCCTTTTTAACGGTATATATGTAGTAGCGTTAATTACAAAAGGGATAGATTGGGGATTCATGATGATGTTTATTAATTTCTAAAGTTATTTATGATTAACATAATTAGCTTAATTTAATATTTTTATTTGTTTAAAAGCTTGTCGATCCAAATTTGAAGTTACAATGCTACCAACTTTGTAAATAAAACACTGCAACGCAATTATATTATTATTAAGCGAATACGTAAATATACGTAACGTTCCCGTGGGAAAAAGTTCGATAACATTAAAATAAACCCAATTGTCTACCGTTTTTTTTTTTTTTAATTTTTTTTACTTTTTGACTTCTTGTTAACGTAAATACGTAGTCAAATCGAAACGAAGCGAACGAAAAATTAATTTTTCTTACCATAAATATCCGATGTCCATTGTTTATTCGATTATAATTTAATGCAATTTGAATCCATAATGAAGTGTATTAAACATGATTTATGATTTTTATAATATTTCCGTCAATATATTTAAAAAAAATTCAAAAAGATTTTTGTTTATATCCGTGTACTCAGCTTGCGTTGAAACAGAAGACAGTATGCAATATCGATCGCATCCTTTATCCTTACAAATATTCAAGATATATGAACATATGTAATATACTCGCTCGAATGACGTCAAAATGTTACAAAGACTGTAAAATCTCGTTATGGAAATCTGTTCTTATGCATATGAAATTTTCAATCCATTAAATTGTTATATTTCCAATTTTTTATAGTAATTTTACTTTTTATTGGAAAGCTATTTTGTCGCAACCGTTTATATTACATACATACTTACGGGTGTGTAGGTGATAGATTCGTAAGCCATTATATTTATTTATAGCTTTGTGATTATAATGCTAAGAGGTTACGTACGGTTTCGAGTCGTTTTGATCATGTGCGTGAACTGTCAATCTCTTTGTTTTTTTTTTCTTTTTAAATGGAAACTCATGTTTATAGAGAAAATTCATGTAATTTGGATAAAACCCAAATTCAGATTCTCATTCCGTCGTCTATGTTATGTTAAAACAAATTGAAAGTGTTTCATTCCATTGGAAAACAGTAAAAAGAAAAAAAACCTGCCGCAATATATTTTATAATTAAAACTGAAACCCCGGCATTACGATTTTAACTTATCTGAAGCTGTTGCTATTGTTGTCGGTTTGATAATTCTAAGAAAATTAAACACGTTCTCGTTCCCCTCTCACACTCACCATCCATCTCTTTCACCATTTGCCTCCTTCTCTCTCTCTTTCTCTCTCTCTCTCTCTCTCTCTCTCTCTCTCTCTCTCTCTCTCTTTTCACTATTGAAAATGTTTGTATACTACTAGAGGAGGCTGTTCTTGTTGTGCTCATGCAGTGCGCTGGTAAAGTTGAAAAAAAATTTTATTTTTTTTATTTTTTTGTTTTTTTCTCAAAGCTTATCAGAATTAGCGCAATTTATATGTTAATCTTTTGACGAAACAGGTTATGTTTATTGTTGCTGGTGTATTTATATTATGGTCGTTTGTATTATTTTTGTTTTAATCTCAGTTGATACTCCAAGTTCCGGGTTGGATATACATATGTTTGAGTTTTCTTCTTATTGCTTATTTATTAATAAATTAATTGAATGAATATCTTAAATGAATTTTTCGATTGAAAAAAAAAAAAATAATAATAAAGAAGCGAAATACGAATACGTAAATATCTGTCTATTGAAAAAAATTAATAAGCTATTGCATAATCTAATCGTGGGGCAGTGTGCGACTGTGAATCGAAATCGTCCGTTCTATAGTCGATCAGAAGGGGAATAAACCTTATGCAAATTAATAAATGAATTTTTTAAATTTATCCACAATTTGGCCAAAGCTATTATGCAAGAAAGCGTTTATAACTTCAGATATGAGTCGCGTGCTGTATCAGTCCCAAAATTATGAAGAACAATAGGTGGCTAAAACTAAACATGAATAGATCGACGTTATGGCTGTACCATCGGAAATATCCAAAGACCGATTGCGTTAGATTTCGCTTAAATTAGCAAAACGATTTTCGTTAGATTCACGCGCCATTTTATCCTTAATAAATAAAATCCTGAAGTAACCTTTCAAACAATGCTATGTGAGATAACTCTACTTTGTAGTACTTCTCTAGTTAGGCATTGTTATATTGCGTTATAACTTTCGTGTTGATAGATTTTCAGATATCTTGTATACAAATGTCTCTATTCCTGTCATAATAAACCGATTGATTAGTCCGTGCGGGCTGATCGCAACGTTCGGCTTTGTGTAGACGCTTGAATTCCACGACACTAAATCTTGGAACCATTTCTTCTTACTGTTGTTTTTCCCACTAATCCCACTCTCCATTTTCGGAAAGGTTTATTACACTGAATTTGGTTAATTCTATTTATTAATGCACAAAAAAAAAATATACTACTGAGCCCAGTCGCCCAGTCGTGCCTAAAAGTGCTAAATCACTAAAAGACTTTGGCGAATTCTGACTGCGATAGCCTATAGGATGACTCGTCATATATTGTTGTTATGAGTGCGTTTTTCTGCAATAAATTCTTATCTTGTATCTTTCATTTTTACTTTCGCATTTTATCATCGATCCTGGTCACTATATTATTATCATTAATGGATCTCAAATGATTATTCGATGAGAAAACTTGTATTTCTTATCATTCGTCGCTTCGTAATATTTAGAAGTCTTCTTCTTCTTTTAATTGAAGTCAAAATTTGAGAGGTTTCTTGGGAATTTGTACCATGCAGCGCTTCGCCTAATAAAATCCTTTATTTATTTTCGTGACAAAATATGAAAAATTATAACTTGTTGCATGTTTAGGCAGGATTCAAGAAAGTAAACCTACGTTTAGTTTAATTTTAATACAATTAATATTGAAAATCAAGTTTGGTGGTCATAAAGTGTAAAAGAAGACACTGTTGTTATGCACAGAATTTCCTTCCATAGGGAGGGAAGGTGTTCAAAAAATTAGTCAGCCCGCGCCTACTCTATCTAAATTTTTCACTTTAAGTATAATGATGACTTTTTCAAAAGCTTTTTTTTTGTTGTATGGAAAATGATCGCAAAAATGGTTTGATTTAGCTTCGAAGGACAGGCAGCATTTTTGATGTTGTCCCAATTTTCCGACTTTTAGGCTAAACACAAAAGTACATGTAGAGGTTAGCAGTCGCTAGATTTAGAAAATTATTCCTAATCGATCGGATTTTGTAATGAAAGATGATGGCTATAACGTCAAGTTCGATTTTGTATTTCAACATGCATGTGTTGTATTACAAATGGTGTAAGATGTATAAAAACGAAATCCGATAAGAATTTATTATTTTGTTGATGTTCCGGCAAACAGTGTCTCTCCGTTCAGGTGGAAAACTTGGGTGAAAGGCAGCAGTCGGCGATGATTTTTACAGAGGCTAACTGTAAATCTACTCTAATTGTTTATATCAAAAACTTGATGTATAATGTTATTATAAGACAATTGATGATTACCTTATACCATAATTGAATACAATTGATAGAAAAGTCGATTTTTCATAAGCCGGCCCGGATTTGCATTCCATGTATTATTAACATGCGGTGTATATTGCGGTTTAAAGATCGCATATATGTATATAATTTTTCATTTCATTTATTAATTTATTTATTTATGTTTTTTTTTATTATTTTAATGTATTAGACGTTGTTCATCTTTTGACGTCAGTAAACTTTTGTTATTGACATTTTAAAGTCACGTAAAGGGTTTACCGTGTACGTTGCTTATTGTTGTTTCTATCTTTTTCTTTTCTTATCTCTCTCTCTCTCTTTCTTTCTTTCTGTCTGTCTTGCGCGCTCTCGCCCTCTCTCCTTTCATTTATTCTAGCCTAGCTCAGAGATAATAAATTTTTTTTAAAATAATTTTTTTCTTATTCCGAGTTATAAGTGTTTTTTTCTCCTCTCTTCTCTCACCAAAAATACGATAATAATTATCATTTTCTTTTCTTATGGTTTAAGTAAAATAACACTTGTTTATAACGTCACTTTTATGTGAGTATTTTGCAGTGGCTTTTGTTGTTGCTGTATATAAATTGGAAAAAAAAAAAAAAAAAAAAAAAAAAATTTTTATAAAAAAAAATAAACAAAAATTTAATAAAATTTTTAGTTTTTTCGTTTAGTATTTTACACAGAAAA